TCTGACAAAAGAGCTGTTTTTGTCAGCAGCTTGTAATCAAACCTGCGGGCCACTTCGCTTCCCTTCCCGGGAGAGCCACGCTCCTCCGTACCGAGGGCTCAATGCAGGCTCAAAGTGTTCTTGGGGAGCACGCTACACACTCTGGCAATCTAGCCTCATCCTCGCCCAGATTCACCGATGATTAAAAACCTACCTAAACTCGCTGCCATCAAGTCAATGCCGACTCGCAGCGACCCCTCTGGGTTCCCGAAACGGTAACCGCTTACGGGAGCAGAAAGCCCAGACTTACTTCCCAGGAGCTGCTGGTAGTTCCAAACGGCCGATCTTGCGGCTCACAGCCCAACACGCCACTACACCCACCCAGCAAGGCTCCTAAGTATTTAAAAGGTAGATAGTAAACAAACGAAAGGCACTGGCCACACTTCTTCCCTTGTAGCCTCTGACACTAGTCTTCACGTACTCTCTTTATGTGAGGCGGGTGAGCAGTAGGGGCTCTTTGCCCCTCTTTGGGGCAAATCATATTTTTAACAATTTTCTTGGCACTTAATCCACATATCACACAATTCAATAGTTCAATCATATCAAGAGGAATTCTAAAATCATTACCACAGTCAATTTCAGAACATTTCGCCCCATGATTAAATCGCCTTTAAAATTAGTTATGTAATCACCTTCAGTTTTAGTGGGAAAGGAATCACCCTTCCCACCTTCACTGTTTACTCCTGAAATCCCCTGACTCTCCGCCAGCCCCTCCATTCCCTGCATACCCTTGTCTCTGTTATCTCTGCATCCACTCCTCCTGTGCTTCACGAACGGGTAAGCCCAACAGAAACAAAAAAGAACAAAAAAATGAAGTGGTAAAGGTAAAACAATAGTAATATAAAGATAAAAATACAGACAGTGAGTAAGAAAAAGGACTACCATCAATATTTTAAAAGCCGGGGGAGAATTTTTGTCATGGAACAAGTTGGAGATCTTGCACCTAGAACAAAGTCAGATTGGGTCTAGAGCAGCGGTTCTCAACCTGTGAGTCTCGACCCCTTTGGGGGTTGAACGACCCTTTCACAGGGGTCGCCTGATTCATAACAGTAGCAAAATTACAGTCATGAAGTAGTAATGAAAATAATTTTATGGTTGGGGGTCACCACCACATGAGGAACTGTATTAAAGGGTCGCATCATTAGGAAGGTTGAGAACCACTGGTATAGAGGGAGGTCCACTGACCGAGTATCAAGTTTGATCCAGCATAATCAGGATTACAGTGATCTATGTATGACAGTAGCTTAATCTAGATGCTCTGCAGCTGGGTTTTGGGCTCCCACTGTCCTCCCGGCCTTCCACAAAGTGGGTGTTCCTCTGATACTTCACCCTTCGTCATATTTGAATGTTGTTATTGTCATCTTTGGATCACACAAGCTGGTGTGCTTCTTCATGTGGACTTAGCTGACTCCTCGCTTAGGTGGCTGCTTGTTAGAATCCAAACCTTTAAGATCCCAGGCACTATTCGGATTGATAGCGGGGCACTATCTGCTTTCTCCACCACCCTGTCTTCACTATACCTTGTCTTCAGTGACCATTTCATGCAGGTGAGGATTGAGCAGGGCCATGTGATCAGAAATAACTGTTCTTGGATTGGGGCTAGAGTTCAGTGGGGGCCCAGAATCCATCTGCTTGTCCCTGGGATATGCACGGCTCAGATTTACTGTGGCTTCATATTATGACAAAGTCAAAACCCCATAAGACCAGCTAAACCAACAACAGCAACAAACCCACTAGCAGACAACGAAAGACAAATAAACAAAAACAAGCAGACTAAAAGCAGGAAAATAAAAACTCATAGGACAGCAATGTAAAACCTTGTCAATCATCCCCCTGGGGTTTAAGACGATTGCACTTATAATATCAATGTTTTCAATGACACATCGCTCTGGGCACTGTGGAGTTTTCACGGGCTGTCATCTCATGGAAGTACATCACCAGAATTTCTTTGACAGCACCACTGGGTGGATTCAAACTGCCCACCTTTTGCACTTCCCACAGACTTTGTGAGTCTTGCAGACACAAACTCACCTTATCCAACTTTGCCCCCGCTCCTGCTTTAATAACCCATTGCCTGTGTAGTAGATTCTAAATCACAGAGACCCATTAGGACACAGGAGAACGACTATCATCTTTCTCGAAGCAGACTGCTCATCTTTCTTCCCACACAGCGGGTAGGTTCAAGCCACCAGCCTGCTGATTGCAGTGGTTCTCAACCTGTGGGTCGCAACCCCTTTGCGCGTGGAATGACCCTTTCACAGGGGCCGCCTGATTCATAACAATAGCAAAATGACAGTGATGAAGGAGCAACAAAAATAATTTTATGGTTTGGGGGGATCACCACAACATGAGGAATTGTATTCAAGGGTCATGGCATTAGAAAGGTGGAGAACCACTGGCTTAACCACTGCTCTAATACAATCCCTCAATTCCCAGCTGGGACCCCTCAGGCTCCTTGTCTCATACCCTACCTCCAGTGGAAGATATTTCTGAAAAAATAATTTGTTCCCAATCCCACTGCAATTCCATTGCTTAAATTGACATCTTCTCCGTTTTCCCTTCTGCAAACTAGTTCTGCAGTCTCCAGGGTCATCTTTGTAAAA